TTTCAATTTTTCTGAGTGCCTTTTTTCATAGATTTCGGCTTCAAATCTGAGAATAATTTAGTGTATGGAATTTGAGGGATGTTGAATGACCATAAGGACACAAAATCTCGACAAAAAAAAATTTGAAATTTAATCGTTTTAGTAAGAAGGTACCTACCTTATGATTTAGATTTTGGAAAACTTTGAAAGCCCATAATTTTTTTTCTATTATAGATAGAAAGCTGAAACTTTCACTGAATTTTATCCCAATCAAGGGACTACAATCCCTGAAAATTTCAGCTCATTTGCACTTATAGTTCCTGAGATAAAATCGTGTTAAGCAATTTGGGGTGAATTATCAATTTTTCAATTTTTCTGAGTGCCTTTTTTCATAGATTTCGGCTTCAAATCTGAGAATAATTTAGTGTATGGAATTTGAGGGATGTTGAATGACCATAAGGACACAAAATCTCGACAAAAAAAAATTTGAAATTTAATCGTTTTAGTAAGAAGGTACCTACCTTATGATTTAGATTTTGGAAAACTTTGAAAGCCCATAATTTTTTTTCTATTATAGATAGAAAGCTGAAACTTTCACTGAATTTTATCCCAATCAAGGGACTACAATCCCTGAAAATTTCAGCTCATTTACACCTATAGTTCCTGAGATAAAATTGTGTTAAGCAATTTGGGGTGATTTATCGATTTTTCAATTTTTCTGAGTGCCTTTTTTCATAGATTTCGGCTTTAAATCTGAGAATAATTTAGTGTATGGAGTTTGAGGGATGTTGAATGACCATTAGGACACAAAATCTCGACAAAAAAAAAATTGAAATTTAATCGTTTTAGTAAGAAGGTACCTACCTTATGATTTAGATTTTGGAAAACTTTGAAAGCCCATAATTTTTTTTCTATTATAGATAGAAAGCTGAAACTTTCACTGAATTTTATCCCAATCAAGGGACTACAATCCCTGAAAATTTCAGCTCATTTGCACTTATAGTTCCTGAGATAAAATCGTGTTAAGCAATTTGGGGTGAATTATCAATTTTTCAATTTTTCTGAGTGCCTTTTTTCATAGATTTCGGCTTCAAATCTGAGAATAATTTAGTGTATGGAATTTGAGGGATGTTGAATGACCATAAGGACACAAAATCTCGACAAAAAAAAATTTGAAATTTAATCGTTTTAGTAAGAAGGTACCTACCTTATGATTTAGATTTTGGAAAACTTTGAAAGCCCATAATTTTTTTTCTATTATAGATAGAAAGCTGAAACTTTCACTGAATTTTATCCCAATCAAGGGACTACAATCCCTGAAAATTTCAGCTCATTTGCACTTATAGTTCCTGAGATAAAATCGTGTTAAGCAATTTGGGGTGAATTATCAATTTTTCAATTTTTCTGAGTGCCTTTTTTCATAGATTTCGGCTTCAAATCTGAGAATAATTTAGTGTATGGAATTTGAGGGATGTTGAATGACCATAAGGACACAAAATCTCGACAAAAAAAAATTTGAAATTTAATTGTTTTGAGTAAGAAGGTACCTACCTTATGATTTAGATTTTGGAAAACTTTGAAAGCCCATAATTTTTTTTCTATTATAGATAGAAAGCTGAAACTTTCACTGAATTTTATCCCAATCAAGGGACTACAATCCCTGAAAATTTCAGCTCATTTACACCTATAGTTCCTGAGATAAAATTGTGTTAAGCAATTTGGGGTGATTTATCGATTTTTCAATTTTTCTGAGTGCCTTTTTTCATAGATTTCGGCTTTAAATCTGAGAATAATTTAGTGTATGGAGTTTGAGGGATGTTGAATGACCATTAGGACACAAAATCTCGACAAAAAAAAAATTGAAATTTAATCGTTTTAGTAAGAAGGTACCTACCTTATGATTTAGATTTTGGAAAACTTTGAAAGCCCATAATTTTTTTTCTATTATAGATAGAAAGCTGAAACTTTCACTGAATTTTATCCCAATCAAGGGACTACAATCCCTGAAAATTTCAGCTCATTTGCACTTATAGTTCCTGAGATAAAATCGTGTTAAGCAATTTGGGGAGAATTATCAATTTTTCTGAGTGCCTTTTTTCATAGATTTCGGCTTCAAATCTGAGAATAATTTAGTGTATGGAATTTGAGGGATGTTGAATGACCATTAGGACACAAAATCTCGACAAAAAAAAATTTGAAATTTAATCGTTTTAGTAAGAAGGTACCTACCTTATGATTTAGATTTTGGAAAACTTTGAAAGCCATAATTTTTTTTCTATTATAGATAGAAAGCTGAAACTTTCACTGAATTTTATCCCAATCAAGGGACTACAATCCCTGAAAATTTCAGCTCATTTGCACTTATAGTTCCTGAGATAAAATCGTGTTAAGCAATTTGGGGTGGATTATCAATTTTTCAATTTTTCTGAGTGCCTTTTTTCATAGATTTCGGCTTCAAATCTGAGAATAATTTAGTGTATGTTGATTGACCATTAGGATACAAAATCTTAACAAATTTTTTTTTGAAATTTCATCGTTTTAGTAAGAAGGTACCTTATGATTTAGATTTTCGAAAACTTTGGAAGGGCATAACTTTTTTTCTATTATAGATAGCAGTGGCGGCTTATGACTTTTATTTTAAAGGTGGCAAAGAAATGAGCGTCATAGGTAATTTTTTTTTGGGGGGATAAAATTACATAAAAATTCACTTTGTAGCATAAAGGGGAGGCACTGCCTCCCCTGACGAGCCGCCACTGCTGTAGTACTGAGTTGGAAAAAAAATCATAATTACATATTCTATTTCTGAGCCTCATGTTCACTTTCCATTTGGTTTATTTAATGAAAATACTTAAGTAGGTAGGGTTAGGTGGGGTAGGTTCGGACATAGGGCACCTCCGGACATTTCAAATTTACCGCGAAAATATGACAGAAAGGTAATTCCATGCGCTGCCTAACATTCAGCTGCGAATTTTAGAACCTTGTGAGTCATCATGGTGAAAGTACCGGTAAACGGAAAAAACTAATCAGGCTTTTTATATTTGTTGAGTGCATTCTATAAAAATTTGGATTATCCTCGTAAGGCTCTACAATTTTCTCACGAGACACATATAAGAATTCTTTTGGGTACATTGAAGTTGGGTGTTTTAGTAATGATATAACTTCGTAAATCAAGTTGAAATCCTGTTATGGAGTGTTTATATTTCTTTGCAACATGGGGTACTTTCGGACAAATTGAATGGGGCACATTCGGACTGCTCGAAAGTGCACCAGAGTGCCTCATCTCAAAATACGATCTTTTCAGGATGGTAAGAACATACAAGAGAAAGAAGAATCGTCCTAAAATTCCCAACTCTGTAATGAAAAATGCCATAAAACATGTTTTTAAGCGCACAATGTCAGTACGTAGGGCTGCGTTCGAGTTTAACATAGCAAAATCAACATTGCAAGGCAGAATAGCAAAAATGAAAAGGAATGGTCAAACTACCTCAATGATGCTACCCGACAGGTGTTTACTCCTACTTACCTACCTGAATTAGAACAATATATGAAAGTCTCTTCAAAGATGTTCTACGCCATTCTACGGGTTGATCTATAGATGTGCTAGAAAACTGGCTTTTGAATATGCCTTTAAAATAGACAAGACTTATCGTCAAACATGGAATGAAAACTAAATGACAGGGGTAGAATGGATGAGATCATTCATGAAACGCCACCCAAAACTGTCATATCGCAAACCAGAGAACACAAGCATTGCAAGAGCTACATCTTTCACCAAGTCAAATAATGTAGATCATTTTTTCAAGAACTATGCCGAAGTTTAAACAAAATACAATTCTACTGCTCACAGAATTTGGAATATAGATGAAACGGAAAACGGGTATAACCACAGTTTTACAAGCCCCAAAAGTGATAGCGGAAATAGGTTCAAAAGGCGTTTTAGTAACAATTTCAGCAAGTGGAAATTCAATTTTCCCTTTATATATTTTTCCGAGAATTCGAATAAAGGAGGCATTCTTGTATGGTGCAGTTTCAGGATCAGTATAACGGTTCGCCGAAAAATCAGGTTGGATGTCATCAAAAGTATTTGTCAAGCTATTAGATTACATATACATAAGCACATAAGTTGTAGCCAAGCAAACCCAATCCTCCTGCTCTTGGATAACCAGGAAACCCATGCTAGAGTTGACGCAATATCCTATGCCCGTGAAAATGATATTGTCATTCTCTCATTCCCACCTCATTGCACACATCACATGCAACCACTGGACAAAAGTTTATATTATGATCCTTTTAAAAATAGATGTAAATCCTCTTTAAATGATTACCTACATATTGGGAAATCCTGGAAAGCCAATATCCATTTATGAAATTGCAAGACTTACTGCTGATTCATTTTTGCAAAGTTTTACTCCGAAAAACATCTTAAGCAGCTTCGCCAGCTCAGGTATATGGCCTATAAATTCAATGATTTTTACCGATGATGATTTTTTGGGATCGCGATATCAAAGAAAAATTTTCACCGACGCCTCCAATTTGCGATACAACTTCAATTAATCCTCAAGCCAGTCGAGCGGCTTCCATTCCAGCAGACATTGCTAGCACATCGGCCGCTTCATGCTCGCATGACCTAGCTGACATTACCGACATAACGAATATGATAAAGGGCCGATATTGTTGATAAAGTTTTTAAACCAAAGATTAATATTATATCCATAGTCCAAAAAAAAACCTTATTCAAAGGCAGCTCCCAGAAAGAGCGAAGGAAAATCGCGTTTGGGTAAGTCTAGAATTTATACCAGTACTCCAGAGAAGGATAGGAAAAGGAAAGTTATGTCAGGTGGAAGCAGACAAGTCAAAAGCAGTTTAGGAAAAGCTTGCAACAAAAAGCCATTATTGTTAAAAGATGTTAAAAAGAAAAGGCAAAGAAAGAACGATACCTTTTCATTGAAGACATTGAAGTCCAATAAAGCCTTGCCCAATAATATAACAAAGAATTTTTATATTCCGATTCCGATATAGACATGGACACAGACCCAGAAGAAATAATGAAACCTGATCAACTTATTGACGGCGATAAAATAGAACGTGGTGATTACCTATTGGTAAAATTTTGAACGTGCCCCACCTTACCCTAAATTAATTCTGGAAGTTCAAAAAAGCTCTGATGAAGCGATCAAAGTTGATTCAACCAGGGATTTTAGAAGTTTCTTTTATTATTATTTATTATTGACAGAGCCTCAGATTCACCCAGCTATTACCAAGAAGGAAAATTGAAAATTGACTCATTTTTTTTTCTATTCCAGGCTCTTGATTTGAATTCTCTCTTGTTCAAAGAGAGAATAAGTAAGTTGAAGCTTGAAGTTTTCGATAAATTCTGAGTAAAATGTCAACTTTGAAGCCTAATTTCAAAAAACCTATAGGAGCAACTAGTATAATTTTTTGAGGTTGTATAGAGAATTTTATCCTCTTTCAGAAAACCTATAATAAAAGTTGATTCGTTAAGAATTACCAAAACTGTGAGCAAAATTTTGAGACCATGTCAGACTGTGAGAAAATTTCTAAGGTCAAAATTGTGATTTTTTCTTCTTTCTCATGAAACTACCATTTCCGAAACAATGTGGGATTTGGTTTTCACTAATTTTAACCTCCTCCTTCCATTAAGAAGGTTCAATTTTAGAAAAAATTCAAAACTGAAAATTTTGATTTTTCAAGCTAACCCCTTTGGATTTTTTATTCAAAATATTTCATTGACAATATTTCGGTAAATTTGAGAGGTATCAAGTCAAATTTTTCTGAGTTGGTAGCTCTCGTCGGGTACTCCAAGAGCTTATTTAGAAAATCTTTCCATCAATTATGGTTTTTGAGATTTTTGATCTTGAAGTTTTTGATAAGATCTGAGTAAAATTTCAACTTTGAAGCCTAATTTCTCAAAACCGATAGAAGCAACTAGTATCATTTTTGGAGGTTTTATAGAGAATTTTATCCTCTTTCAGAAAACCTATATTAAAACTTGATTCGTTGAGATTTACCAAAACTGTTAGCAAAATATTTAGACCATGTCAGACTGTAAGAAAATTCTTGAGGTCAAAATTAAGATTTTTCCTTCGTTTTTTTTTCTCATAGAATTACCATTTTCGAAACAATGCGGAACGTGGATTCCACTAATTTTAACCCCCTTTTTCGATTGGGAAAGTCCAATTTCAAAAAAAAATTGAAAATTTGAAATTTTGATTTTCCAAGCTTTGGATTTTTTATTCAAAATCTTTGATTGACAATATTTCGGTAAATATGAGAAGTATAAAATCAAATTTTTCTGAGTTGGTAGCTTTCGTCGGGTACTTCAAAACCTTATTTAGAAAATATTTCCATCACTTATGGTTTTTGATCTTGATGTTTGAGAAAATCTGAGTAAAATTTAAACTTTGCAGCCTGCATTTTTTAAAACCTATAAGAGCAAGTGGTATCATTTTTGCAGGTTTTATAGAGAGTTTTATCCTCTTCCAGAAAACCTATAATACAAGTTGATTCGTTGAAAATTACCAAAACTGTGAGCAAAATTTTGAGACCATGTCAGACAATAAGAACATTTCTGAGATTATTCTCATAAAATAACCGCTTTCGAAATAATCAAAAAAATCAAGATCCGGGAATGGACAATAATTAACATAAAAAAAATAGAAATTGAGAAAACGAGCCTCAGAAATACTGAAAATCGCACCAAAATAAGAACAGATAGAGTAGAGATAATGGGATTAGGACTTTGAAAATAAAGTCCTAAACCCATTAGCTCTACTTTATCTGAAACACTAAGGACGTTATCTAGAAATATACAAACTAAGAAAATTATAGAAAATATAGAGTGTTAATTTCCAGATAATAACAGGGGCTTAAAAACGCATTAGCTTTAATAAAATGACACCTACAGCATACATACATTAAATGGAATCAAATTTGGATGTTTTTTTGTCTAAGGGCCAATTTCTTTCACCTAAACTAGAAAGTTAGTTTGTTCGTTTTTATCTTCTTTTTCTAGAAGTTAGGGCTCACCTGAAACACAACATAAAATCTCGTGTATGGACATTTTGTAACAAACACAGCACTCGCCACACATCGATAGACAAAACAAATCTGGCAAAGAAAACCTTGAAATATCAAAAATATATTCATTAATCAATCCAACCGGATAAATCCAGCTTTATCCATTATTATCGCGTTTTCTCATTAAACTTGCTTACGATATGTTTTATTTTATAGGTTCAACGGAATGGCGAAGCCAACGATAACACCTGGGATTGGACCACCCCGGAGCCGGAACCAAATGAAAACATTTCCGACTTGAAACAAACTATAAAACAGCTTGAAATTGAAAAGGGCCGATTGGTTGATCAGCTTGAGCAGTTAGATGAAGAAAATCAACAAAATTTAGTGCAACTCAATGCTATCAAGGAGAAATTGCAACAAGAAAATAGCAACTTAAAAGATAAATATTTAGAATTGAAACAACAAGTAAAAACATTTAATTCTAGAGAAGAAACATTGAAAAAACAAGTTCAAGAGTTAAGCGTGCTTAAAACAACTCACGCAAACTTATTGAAAACTTTTGAACACATGAAATCAAGCTCGGAAAAAGAAATCGAAGAACTAAGAAACAAATACAAAGTAGTTCACAGCGAAGTACAAAAAGCGAAAAAATATATCGAAATGATCGAACTAAAAGACCAAAACGAGGAACAAGACGCTCAAAAATTGGAAATAATTTTGGATACTTACGACAAACAAGTAACGAAATTGCAACAGGAACTTCACGAGGCCTCGAAAATGATCGAGATGTTGCTCAAAGAAAATCAGCAGCTGAAACAACAACAAACAAGCGACGAATCGATAACTTTGAAAAATTACGACGCACATGTTTCTCGGCTGAAATTAGAGGTTGACGATGGGCTACAAACAAACGAAACTTTGTTGCAAGAAAATCTTAATTTGAAAACACAGTTTGATGAAGCCATGAAAACGTTGCAACAAGAAAACCAGCAATTGAAAGCGCAGCAACAATCAACAGAAACATTGGGACAAGAAACCCAGCTTCTACAAATCCAGCAACAAGAAGCATTAAAGTCAACAGAAATGTTGCAACAAGAAAATGATAATTTAAAAACACAAGAACAGAAATTGAAAAAACAGCTTGATGAAGTCTTAAAAACGTTGCAACAAGAAAATCAGCAATTGAAAGCGCAGCAACAATCAACAGAAACGTTGCAACAAGAAAACCAGTTTCTTAACACCCAGCAGCAAGAAGCATTAAAATCAACAGAAATGTTGCAACAAGAAAATGATAATTTAAAAACACAAGAACAGAAATTGAAAAAACAGCTTGATGAAGCCTTAAAAACCTTGCAACAAGAAAACCAGCAACTAAAAACCCAGCAACAATTAACAGAAACGTTGGAACAAGAAAATCAATACCTAAAAACACAACTAAAAGAGGAAAGAATTGAAAATCAATTGAGCGAAGCCTCAAAATCAACCGACAACACAGACAAATACGAAATGCAAATTTCAAATCTAACTAAACAACTAGAAGAATTAAACATTGAAACAGAAAAAATGCATAATAAATATATAAACATAATAACAGACAATATAAAACATTACATTGACTCGCATGCTCCTGCTAGTCAGCAAAAGAGTGAAACTCCCGATAATACTCACCTGGCAGAGTTCAGCAAGCAAGTTGAAAACTTGTTTAAAATTCTACTAGAGTTCAAACAAAAATGTGAAACTTTAGAAAAAGAACTTATCGAAACTTCAAATGAAAAAACTAAAATTCTTAAAGAAAAATACGAAGAAATTGAAAAGCTAATACAAAACTCTGAAGTACTTAGCCAAGAATCAATTAAAAAAAGTGAAACTATTAAAGAACTAGAAGCAGAAGTTTCCAATTTAATTGCCAGCAATGATATGCTACTAACTGAACTAGATTCATATAAAAACTCAGGCTTACAAACCATTTCCGAATCAAATGAAGACAATATGGTTTTATTAGAAAACGATTTAGATACTGCCAATCAACGTATAAGAGAACTAGAAGAAATTATCGATAGTCCTAGCAAAAAATCTACATCTTCGTTCCATGAAAAACAAGAAAACTATGAAGATTATGATAAATTAAAATATAAATTCAAAACACTAGAAGACGATAATGAAGAATTAAAAAACAATTTAGAAAAATACAAAAACGATTACGAAAATATCGACTATCAACTTTTAGAAGCCAACGTTGTCATTGATGGTTTAAAAGAAGAATTAGAAACAATCAAAATTGAAAATACAGAGCTGAAACTTGTTAATATGGATTCAAAAACAGAATATAATTATTTAAAAGAAAAATGGTTACGTGAAGAAGATTCACGTAAAGAACTTGAGGCTCGATTGAAACATTTAAATGAAGCTAAAAACAATTTAGAAGAATCTCTAAAAGCAAGTAAACAAGAATATGAAACAATAAAGCAAAAATACGAAGAAGTTTTGGTGCATTGTGAAAACTTAAATTGCAAAATCCAGGAGTTACAATTTGGAACAAAAGATTCCTCAAAAGAAGAATATGAAACAATAAAGCAAAAATACGAAAAAGTTTTGATGCAATGTGAAAACTTAAATTGCAAAATCCAAGAAAAAGAAGTTACAATTAACAACTACGAGTCAGAGAAGAATGAATTGAAGTTGCAACTTGAAACAAAACAAACTGAAATCAATAATCTTAACCAACAATTGCACGAGCTGACAACATCTAGAAACGACTTAATAAACATGGTAACAATAAAACATCAAGAAAACGTAAACTACCACAACGAAATACAAAGATTAACAGAAATATTGGCTGTCAACAGCAACAGCAGCAACCAATTGGCCCTAAAAGCTGAAGAAATCGACAAACTAAACGACCAAAACAACTTCCTGAAAGAAAAATGCGACATCCTCACCAAAAACCTCTTAGAAGAACAACAATCCCTTGCCGAAAAATCCAAACAACTAGAAAGATTGCAAAGCCACCTAATAGAACTCCAAGACCATTACACTCAAGAACTACTCGAAGCCGAGCAAAAATCGACGGCATTGCAAAGTAAGCTTTCGGCTTTAGAAATGCGCGAGAAGAATTCCAGTACGATGTACACGTCTGTGAGTATAAGGGCCAATCAGCAAGTAGAAGCTTTGCAAAGTCAGCTACAGCTGTTGACCAATCAAAGGGAGGAATTGAGGAGGAAGCTGTCGGACGCTGAGGATTTGAGTAACAAGCAAGCGGCTGCTTTGGCTAATCTTCAGTTCGTGTTGGAACAGTTTCAGAAAGGTGAGTACAAGAATTTGCTATTTTTGATTGTTCTACCCTCAGTTGAATGTCAGAAATGTGAAATATTGCATGCTTTCAGCTTTTTTCAAATGGGATGCGCTATATTTGGTTCTATATTCTTGAAGAGCTCAATTTCCCGATTCCAAAACTATATAGTTTGTCTATATTTGGTTGAACAGTATCCAACATATTTGGTTCTAGAAATTTTAAAAATACATCAGAAAAACCAAGTACCTCAAATTTTATCTGTAGCTTTCACCTGTATGTACAGGTAGAATAGTTCACAAAATCAGTAGTAGGATTACAACTTTTGGAGCCAAATATATGAGAGATTGCTTTATCAAATATAGATCGGGGCATTGTGCTCTTCAAGAATATATTTAGAACAAAATATAGGGCATCTCATTTAAAAAAGGTTGAAACATGCAAAATTTCACATTTCTGACATTCAAATTTTGTTTCTGACCAAGGTTTCTAAAAATTCAGCCAAAACTGTACAACTTTTGTATCTACACCTTTCTTCTACGTGTAAAGGTAAAGGCTGTAGGTGGGGTGTCAATATATAAAAAAGCATCCTGTAAAAATAAGTGGATTATTGCGGAACTTATGGGTGCTAGTAATATATTGTGACAAGTTATTCAAGTACACACGAGTGGATTGTTGCGGAACTTATGGGTGGACTGTGCTCGTCCCGCAGCCATCTACTCACCAATATACTGTTGAACTATTTAAATAAGACACTCACCTGAAATGTGTAGATTTTGAACTAATGAGAAAAATTCTCAACTGAGTGAATCAGGTTAGTATTGTACTTGAACAACATATTGGTAAATAGATGGCTGGGTCCACCCATAAGTTCCGCAAGAATCCACTCGTGTGTACTTGAATAACTTGTCACAATATATTACTAGTTTGGTAAAGTAACATTACTAATTCCTGTTAAAAGGCAAATTGACAAAAAGTGGATAATCTTCCAAATTCTGATTTTATGTAATAAGTTATTGTTCAAGTACAAATAAGTGGATTGTTGCGAAACTTATGGGTGGACATCTGCGGGACGAGCGTAGCGAGTTCCGCAGCCATCTATTTATCAATATGTTGTTCAATTACGATACTAACCTGACTCACTCAAATGTGAGTTATTCTCATTAGCTCAAAAATTACACGTTTCAGGTGAGTGTCTTATTTGAACAGTTCAACAGTATATTGGTGAGTAGATGGCTGCGGAACTCGCTGCGCTCGTCCCGCAGAGGTCCACCCATAAGTTTCGCAACAATCCAGTTATTTGTACTTGAACAATAACTTATTACATAAAATCAGAATTTGAAAGATTATCCACTTTTTGTCAATTTGCCTTTTAACAGGAATTAGTAATGTTACTTTACCAAACTAGTAATATATTGTGACAAGTTATTCAAGTACACACGAGTGGATTGTTGCGGAACTTATGGATGGACTGCGCTCGTCCCGCAGCTATCTACTCACCAATATACTGTTAAACTGTTCAAATAGGACACTCATCTGAAACGTGTAGTTTTTAAACTAATGAGAATAACTCACATTTGAGTGAGTCAGGTTAGTATCGTAATTAAACAACATAGTGATGATTAGATGGCTGCGGAACTCGCTGCGCTCGTCCCGCAGAGGTCTACCCATAAGTTCCGCAACAATTCACTCATTTGTACTTGATTAACTTGTCACATTATGTTACTTGTTTGGTAAAATAACATTACTAATTCCTGTTAAAAGGCAAATTGACAAAAAGTGGATAATCTTCCAAATTCTGATTTTATGTAATAAGTTATTGTTCAAGTACAAATAAGTGGATTGTTGCGAAACTTATGGGTGGACCTCTGCGGGACGAGCGTAGCGAGTTCTGCAGCCATCTATTTATCAATATGTTGTTCAATTACGATACTAACCTGACTCACTCAAATGTGAGTTATTCTCATTAGCTCAAAAATTACACGTTTCAGGTGAGTGTCTGTGAGTGTCTTATTTGAACAGTTCAACAGTATATTAGTCAGTAGATGGCTGCGGAACTCGCTGCGCTCGTCCCGCAGAGGTCCATCCATAAGTTTCGCAACAATCCACTCATTTGTACTTGAACAATAACTTATTATATAAAATCAGAATTTGTGAGATTATCAACTTTTTGTCAATTTGCCTTTTAACAGGAATAAGTAATGTTACTTTACCAAACTAGTAATATGTTGTGATAAGTTATTCAAGTACAAATGAGTGTATTGTTGTGGAACTTATCAGTGGACCTCTGCGGGACGAGCGCATCGAATTCCGCAGCCATCTATTCACCAATATGTTGTTTAACTACGATATTAACGTGACTCACTCAAACTTGAGTTATTCTCATTAGTTTAAAAACTACACGTTTCAGATGAGTGTCCTATTTGAACAGTTCAACAGTATATTGGTGAGTAGATGGCTGCGGAACTCGCTGCGCTCGTCCCGCAGAGGTCCACCCATAAGTTTCGCAACAATCCAGTTATTTGTACTTGAACAATAACTTATTACATAAAATCAGAATTTGAAAGATTATCCACTTTTTGTCAATTTGCCTTTTAACAGGAATTAGTAATGTTACTTTACCAAACTAGTAATATATTGTGACAAGTTATTCAAGTACACACGAGTGGATTGTTGCGGAACTTATGGATGGACTGCGCTCGTCCCGCAGCTATCTACACACTACTTTACATAATAAGTTATTTTTCAAGTACAAATGAGTGGATTGTTGCGAAACTTATGGGTGGACCTCTGCGGGACGAGCGCAGCGAGTTCCACAGCCATCTACTCACTAATATACTGTTGAACTATTCAAATAAGACACTCACCTGAAACGTGTAATTTTTGAGCTAATGAGAATAATTCACATTTGAGTGAGTCAGGTTAGTATCGTAATTAAACAACATAGTGATGATTAGATGGCTGCGGAACTCGCTGCGCTCGTCCCGCAGAGGTCTACCCATAAGTTCCGCAACAATTCACTCATTTGTACTTGATTAACTTGTCACATTATGTTACTTGTTTGGTAAAATAACATTACTAATTCCTGTTGAAAGGCAAATTGACAAAAAATGAATAATCTTACAAATTTTGACTTTATATAATAAGTTATTGTGTTTTTTCATGTATTGACACCCCAGTTCAGCCTTTACCTTTACAAGTAGATGAAAGATGTAAATACAAAAGTTGTACAGTATTGGCTAAATTTTTAGAATCCATGGTCAGAAACAGAAATTGAATAGCAGAAATGTGAAATGTTGCATACTTAAAACGGCGGGCATTAGGTTGTACTTTTTGACACCTGTCAGAAAAGCTGATAGATTCTTATCGTGTTCTTCTTGATTTTTTCTACAAATTGTGATATGCGTAGACGTCTTCTAGATTCTCTTGCCTGATTATTGTATCTAAGACTCTTTGAAAACAAACTACGCCGTTAGTCACACCAAAAGGGATACGAGTAAACTTGTATAGGTTTTCAAAAGCAGTGAACTGTTTTTCATGATCTTTTATAGTCCTATAGGGAACTGGTGATACGCACTTTCTAGGTCAATAGGGCTAAAAACGTCAAATTTTGAGACTGCTCTTACCAATCCTCCGATATTAGATAAAGGATAAGCGTCAAGATAAGCAAACTTGTTGATTGTTCGAGAATAATCAACAACCATTCTCTTTTTATGATTTTCGTTCTTTGTCACAAGAACTTGTGCTCGCCAGGGGAAGACGTATTTTCTTCAATGATACCTTCTGAAATAAATTTGGCATCAGCATATGAAAATTTCCTCGATTTTGTAGCGATTGGTTTACATTGCGATGATAGATTAGCGAATAATTGCGGAGGTTCAATTTTAGCAGGAGCTAGATAGCAGTGCTTTGTTTCAAGTTCAGTTATCGCAGATTTTCGTCCTTCAAAATAAGTGGTCAACATTTTATGTCATGACCAACGAGCACAGAGAATTGGTAGAACCGCATATTGATGATTCGAGAATGTTGCGGTTGACAACACAAAATCCCTGTGCAAGTATGTCTCAGAGCTGTCAGTATTCATTGACGCATCTACCGATAACTGATTGATTTCTAGTAACACCGCAGTTTTTGATAAACTTTTAGGAACAGAAGTCAATGTTTGAGACAATAGATGCAGTTGTACCACGATTTGAGCTTCGACAGACAGTAGAGAAATTACCTTTTTAACTGCATTGTTTGCAAGTAGTTGCAGTGCAGGATGAAAAGAGCGTTCATGTCTTCTATTTCTACAATGATAGCATGTGGAAAATTTCCTGGTAGCACTCAAAACAGTGTATCTTTGTTGCTGCACTTGAGAATTTTTTGCGTTACTAGAATTGATGAAACTTGTTGAAGCTGTTTGGTATACCTGAGAATGTTTTTGAGCAGAGTCAACAGATAAAGCTTGTGATGTTGCCTTATATTTCCCAAGAGACGCTAATGAATGCATCTCTAATGGAAGATTGGCGATGTTCTTTGGTAGTTACGTTTTTGAAGTCACAATCTTTGCTGAGCTGATTCAAAATTTGAATAAACTGGCTCATGTTTTCTCCATGTTGCTGTTTTCTCGTAGAAAAACTATGTCTTGCAAATATGCTTCATTTTGAGGTTTTATATAGATGTTATCTAAGATACTCAGAGCATCAGCTTAGGTTTTTGCTTCAGAAACGTAATCGAACACGTTGTGACTTACATAGTTTGTGAGCAGCTTCAGCTTTTGTGCTTCCTCTACATCATTTACTGACGACATAAAGTTCTGCAATGTAGTTCTCCAGTGACACCATTCCTTTGCTGCATTTGATGTGCTGGGCAAATACTGTCCTAAAGTCATTTTTGGCAAATTTTCAATATAGCTAAGTGAATACAAAAACCCTACAAGAACCCGCAAAAACTCAACAACCCAATAGAAATTT